GTATTTGAGCTGCTTTTTTTTTTCCCAATGCTGTACTACTGTTTAAGATTTGAGTTTTAACGCAGAGTGCTTATATTGGTCTGTGTCAGAGGTTAAAAAAAAAAAAAGGCTAAATTAAAGTTGCCATTCAATATTGTTTAAGAATAAAAAATGGCTGTCTTGGCTCTCTGATTTAAAAATAAGTTTACCCAAGGCAATGATCAAATACAATCTTCGGGGGTTTTGAATTACTCCAGTCTAGGTACATTCATGGTAAACTTAATGCTTCTATATAGCAAATACTTTACCAATTAAAATGAGTTACAGCAGAATTAAAGCTTTATTTTCTAGRGTTTTTTTCTGCATAAAAATGAATACCTCTTAGCATTTTAATGAGCCTTCTTGTAACTATATACTTAAAAGTTAAGTCATTGCACTGAAACTAACTTATGAACAACATTTTGAGGAGTAACTGTAAACAGGTCAAAGGCTTGTATTTGAATAAGATGAAAAATTATTTTTTTATAGTCATTGATTTCTAAAGCTTATTCTAGTGTCTGTATATATACATACAGTACAGTGTTTTGTTAGGCCTGTGATTGGCAGGATSTCAAAACTCATTAATGCATACAAGATGCTCTTTGCAAGTACACAGGGTGCAATTTTTGAGACCTGCTTTGGAGGCTYTGTGGGAATGTTACCACTGAATTTAAAAGATGGTTAATTGGACACAACTAARGAGAAAACACCAATATAGATTCTGRAGCTGGAGGCTGATGTTGAATGTGCTTATTTTCCCAGGTGCCAAAAAGCATTAGAGTTTCTATGACCAGAAGTTAAAACCAGCGGTTTTACGCTGCTTCCAACTAAGTTACAATGCCTGCTTTGAAGAGGGTAACCAGAGTTTCAGATTATTAGTAGGGAAGTGGACACTTGCACTGCTATTTCAGGTATTGAAAACGCACTGTCTAATGGTGCAACTAAAAAAATCTATTGAACAGGAATTCAGACTATTTGTGCAGTCTCTGTACCGCAGTGGATTTGTTTTCCCTGCAAATARTCAGTACTGATTTTACATGTTCTTTAAAAAGACACTGTATTCATTATATGTAGGACATCTTGTATGACATCTGAAATAGTTCTACTTTGTCTTGAGCAGATTCATTAAACTAAATCTGCTGATTATATGAGGAAGAATGAAATAACTTCAGATGAATTGCARAACAACCATAAATTCATAAGTAGAATAGTAGATCTTTTGAAGTGCCATTTTTAAGTGTTTAGCTTGAGGAAATTGAAGCTGATAAGGCTATTAGTATTTGAAACCTGAAAAGGGAAAAGTSTCTGCTACCGTTGACGTGAAATAGGCTGCATAATTACAGCTGCTTCATGAGCATTCATGCTGGAAGTTCTTTTCTATCCTCATGATGTATGGTAGCTTACAGCATTTAGAGCTTCACAAAAATAGTTGTATTGAGCGTTGTAGACAATACACTGTGATTGCATATGACTGCATGTCTTTAAAAAAGATTAAGACAACAGCTTTATTTGAAATTCAAATGGAAAAGCATCCGTAAACAACTTAAGTTTGGGTTTGGATTAATGGAGTACTCATACATGATTGACCAAAGTCTCAAGAACAATAGCAAGTGATATTGTCGTTGTCTGTAGTTTGAGTGCAAACACAAGGAAAGGAGTGAAATTTCTAGCAGAGGATTCTGATCCAAATTATTTCTGGAATAAAGAGATTATACCTCTCTTCAAATAAAAAATACTTGATATATCATCTTTAAAAGATGGTGTTACTTGGAAATAAACATAACCATAAACCAGTTTTCCACATGGGATATCTTGCTTTTGTCTCTGTGGATTTTTTGCATTGATTTTTAAAATATATATATATATTTAATTCCTATGGGTTGAGAAGTTGAAATGTTCTGGAGTTGAAGTTATTAATAGGGATAGGGCTTACGCGTGTTACAATGTTTTGTATATTATGTCTGCTGTAAAAAGAATTGATTGTACGTACAAATGGCTGTTGTGTGAATAAACTTTTTCTTACATTCTGGAATATAGGTAGTGTTCAAAAATGTTTCACAGGTATGTTCTCAAAAATCTGAGGTGGAAAAGCACAATAAACCTGGAGGCTGGATAGAATGAACTAAATTGTTTAAGCTCTTTGAGATGAGCTGTTTAGTGTTTCCCCTTGGAGACCCCAAGTTTATAAAACAAGCGACTTCAGAAACTCTTTCAAGAAGATWAAGAGAATGATAAATGGAGGTAGTTGGTGTCCAAAATATTTCACTTTAGGCACAGCTGATAAACTATCTAGGAACTGCATTATTTTTTAAAGAGTCTTGTTTTCTCATTTTATTGTCTTTATTTCCTTTAACTATATTTCTTGAAGTTTATTCCCATCTATTTCGGACCATCTGGTAGTTAAAATGCTATGTAGATGGCACCATGGATGGCATGGTGGTCTGGGTTTGTCATCRTTTCTCTGGTTAGACTGATAAAATGTTTTGCCAAAGCAATTCAAAAAAATCTAATTAAGTGTTCCATGTGGTAATTGCACTTAAGTTCCTGTGTGTCCCTACACTTGCTGGGATATTACTATTTTTTCTGGTGTTCAGGAGCAAATGAGTGGTTATTGTCATCCCACCCAAAAGGAGGCTCAAGGGCTGGATTTTGATTAAAAGTATAATACTTCATTATGTTTTAACATTATGGCCGAATTTACTAGAAGGAAGGGCACCATGAAGTTAGTATGAAACAGTGAAAAGAACTCTTCTGGTGTATTCACAAGACCAAAATATCTTCATGAATTCTGGACCTAAGAATGTATATCAGTTAGTTGCAACTTTCTCTCTTAAAGAAGAGGGCACCCAGTGTAAACTGAATTTAAGCCAGTTAAAATGCTGTGGTTAGGTAAACCTTGCAGTGATTCATGTCCCCATTCTTCAGGAGAAATTGTGAATTAGGTTTGTGTTGTATTTTAAACCCAGCTTGCTGCTAAGCACCACACAACTGCTTGCTTCTTCCACATCAGTGGAATGACAAGGAAAATCAAAAATAAAACTTGTAGGTTGAGATAGAAACGGTTTAATAACTGAAAACAAAGTAAAATATAATAATAGTAATTGATAATGAAGGGGGGGGGGGGGGCCCACAAAAAAAAAAAAATAATACCCAATACTCCTTTTTGGATAATTTCCACAGTTTCTATACTTGGCATGGTGTTCTATGGTATGGAATATCCCTTTGCCCAGTTCAGGTCACCTGTCCCAGCTATGGTTCCTCCCAGTCTTCTTTTGTGCAGCTCCTCACTGACAGACTGTGAGACACACACACACACACACACACACACACACACRTAAAAAGTCCTTGACTTAAGATAAACATGACTTAGCAAAAAAACAAACCGTGTGTGGTTAGCAGCATTATTGTCATGCTGAATCCAAAACAGCATGGTACCAGCTCCTGCGAAGAAATTGACTTTATCCCCGCTGAAGCCAGGATGGGTTATAGTGTCCAGGCTGGTGTCCTACACACACATGGAGCTTACATCACGAAAGCCATTATGTAAACTGAGGGTGGTACCTTGCGGTCATCCTGAGGAGGGAAGTAGCATCTGCAGGTTGTTACTCTTATGACTTTGTTCCTTTACATTAAGGAAGTCACAAAAAAAAAACTTGCTTCAATTTTTTTTAAAGTTACTTAAGCATACTTTTGTGAGTGTAATCCCAGAGGAATATACCTGTCAGATCTTTCACAAGCAGTGAGAGGTCAGGAATCCCTATATTAAAGTGCAAGTCAGGTGGGTTTTTTTTGTTTTTTTTTTAATTGAGGCATTATATTCAGCTTTCCAGCATACAGGCAGAATGGCATTGGAATTCTGGGGAATTGAGAAATCCTATTGCATAGTTTCAGGGTTTTTATCTGTGAATAGAACAGCCAGCCAAAGAGGTTCTCAAAATTTCCTTTGGTAAGAGATAAAATTGAGAATGGTTGTGTTATGTTTGGATAACAGCTGARGTAGACWGCTTTAGAAAYATGTTGCAGGTGTAGAATTGTGCTWATTTTCAATTTCTTTGCTGTTAAACRTTCTAATTCAGTAATCAATGTAAATCAGCATTATTTAACATRTGCTGCCTGAATTTTATAGGTGTTTAGTGCAGCTGACATGAATTATTCCAATTGTGAAACTTTTTGTTGAGCCTGTTGGTGCAAGTTTRAAGTACTGTTGATTTTAAATTACAGTATTTTAGCAGGTTTTTCAGCTTTGAGACTTTAAATTTTATTTCTAATCATAGTGAAAGGAGTGGCCTTTAAGGGCTGACAAGTAGTTAATTCAGTATGAGTTGTTCAGCTTTAGATTTGATAATGCTACGGTGAAAAGAAAAATACTTTGAATGGAAAAAACACAGCTTTTTCCCTCCCCTTATTAAAATTTATTTATGAATATTACTTTCTTAGAGCTTGTGTGAAGTCCTAAAGATAATAGGTGGTCTTAGGGGTTGCTTTGATAAGCATAAGCCAAGTATTTAGCATTCATTTGTGTGTTTGTTGCTCCTAGTAGTCTATCTTTTTTTTAACCCTGATTTTAAGTTTCCTTTTTTGCTTTCTATAGAGTTAAGTGCCTTTAAAGAAAGATTGTCAATAAACCATAGTCRTCCAGGTTTTTGGTTTAACACCTTGTTAGCTCATGTGAGTGCAAATCATGCATTTCGTATTGTCATCTTACCTTGAAATCGAGAACGGAAGAATTCAGCTAGTACTTCTTGAAAGTAGTCCATGAAATTTTTGAAATCAGGTTTTGATTTCATGAACTCTCTTAATTCCCCTAGTTTATAGTTGGGTAAGTTGAGGCAATACTGCAGAAGGGGCAGTGCCAGACAAGGCTTTCTGTGTGGTGGTAGAAGAGGGAAGAAGCATTTCTCAGAACAGCACTGAAGTAGCTTATCTGAGTATTGAAAGTATATGAACTTCTTAAAGTTGTAATCTATGCTATCACATTGCAGATGTGCCCTTTAAGCAGACATCTTCTGTTGCTGTAGCAGGGGCTGTGATTGGAGCAGTCCTTGCTCTTTTTATCATTACCATCTTTGTGACAGTGCTGCTGACCCCAAGAAAGAAAAGGCCAGCCTATCTTGACAAAGTGTGAGTATGTGTTGGGCTTCTTTTATTCAATTGAAAGCAATATGCAGAAAGCATTTGTTCTATACAGGGATTTAAGTGTCTGACTTAATTTAGCAGCTGTTCAGYTTTCATAATTTCAGGGCTCTATTTTCAGAGCCAAATGTGAAATCACTTGCATTTCTGAAAARGGAATGAGAAAGGTAAGAATGACTTTGGAGTTAATGTAATGCTTTATCTCTTGAAGTTTTATTTGAAAGAGAAGAACTCATAGATTTAACTGGGGGCAAGAAGAGTTCCCTCTTGACTCGTGCTAGTGACTGCTATTTTATTGTAACTGTGGGTCTAACTTGAAAGCAAAKTGGCCATGCTTTGCAGATGTGAAGGCCCCATAAAATTAATCCTGATATGTTTGCAAAATTAAGCAAGCTCCAACAGATACATGCTTAGAAATCACTGACTTGTTGTTCTTCCTAGAATATTAGTTGTTTCTTCAAGTCACTAGCACAGACATGCAGCTTACTTTATTCAGTATCCAACGTGATACAAAAAAAAAAAAGGGAATTAAAAAAAAGGTCTGAAAAGATTTTGTTAGTTAAAGTGGATGATGTCTAGACCCTGTTTGGATCATGCATAAAAAGTGGCAAGGCCTTTGAATATCTGTTAATGTGAGTCTTCTCACATTCCAAATACAGTTAATACTTAAACTGAATGAGAAATGAAAATGCCTGTCATGTCTGTATATATTATATATACATATATATATACAAACATGTATATAAGAATATATATATTCTCATAGTTAATGAGAAGTAAAATACCTTAGAGTCTTTAGCATAAAATCAGTTTCCTCATTTGCATTGAGCTAGYAAGATGAACAAAGTGTTTTCTTTTGAGCAATTTCTAACATGGTTAGAAATGCTGTTTTATTGTTTGTTTCTCTTAAATTCTGTATCTGAAGCATATTTATATTAATAGACTTAAATGTTTAAATTATTTTATAACCATTCATAACTTTCACTGAGAAAGCTACAAGAGAAAAAGGCTTGCATGTAAGAATGGATAGTAAGCCTTTCTCAAAGGCTTTTTAAAGAAAGGCTATAATTTAAAATGTTGTCTAAGCTGTATCTCACAACTTAAAAACTATGATAGATACCAGTAGTCCCTAATCCTTCTGAGTTGGAGCATATGGGAGGAAGCTCAGTCTTACACATAGACTTAACACAGTATAGAATAAATAACTAATGCTTTTCTAGAAAAAGTGTGTGGCTGAATTATCGGTAGTGGTGGACATGTTCCGTTACAATATATATGTGTGTCATGTCTGACTGAAAGGCGTTTGTCCCTGAGTGCTGAGTGTTGGGTGATTTGGCAGTTAATATCTGACCATTAAATTAAACTTCACAAACATGATGTGTCATATTTCATTCTTTCTTTGCTACAGGATTGATCTTCCACCCACTCACAAACCAGCTTCATTTGAGGAGAGAACATTGTCAGTACCACAGAAAGAAGCTATGCTTCAGGTGAGTGGGTGTTTATATACATTTGAAATTGACTCAAGGCAACTGTTAACTTTGTTTTAATATGTTAGTTTAGTCCGATTTCACTTTCCTGGTAATAGATGCACCAATTGCTTCACAACCAAGCTGTTTTGCTACGTGTTTGATATCCAAATCTCTTACCRTAATGTTAAAGTCATCCTTAAAGGTCAGGAAACTGGTAGACAGATCATTTTGTATTCCTAACRTCATTTGACAGACACAGCTTCTTTTGAATTAGAAAAACCTATAGTTGAAATTGAGAATATAMACAGCTTTATAAAGCAGCTTTCATAAGGGGGGATGGGGAATTATGCTTGATAAACTTAAAAARTGACTTGATCCTTACTAATAAAAGTTGCCATTCTTTTGAGCTATTAAGATTTGAGGAGTGGGGATATATTGTGATTTGGGCTTTGGCATGGCTAATTTACCAGAGTATGGGTTTGATTCCCACTGAAGATCTGTAAATCACTTTTAAGCGCTTGCAATTATCTTATTTCTAATTTTATCCATTTTTCTTGCATTTATCAGCAACAAAAGTAATTTGGCAATAAGTACTTGAGTTTTTAGTATGTTTTCAGGGATAACTTCATGTCATCTAAAGTAATGCTGTCCAAGCAAGATAGCAATAGGCAAGGAAAGTTCTTTACCAACATTTAGTTTGTGTGGGTGTAGTGTGATCAAGAAGTCTTGTATAGGTCATATGCTAGATAGCTGATCCTAGCAAATGAGACAGTTTGAATTAGTGAGGAGCAAGGCAGGATAGGGCTATGTTCTTCCTTACAGCATGGTTTTAAGCTGGATTGGACTGTTGGGAAACTGCAGGTGAGTTCAGGCTTCTCTTGCAATAGGCGTTATAGGGGAGATCTGTTCATGGGAGATGGCTATGCTATATTATTGATTATTGCACTTCATATAATAAACCAGTCAATTAATGAAAACTATATATCCTGGCCATGGCCTCTAAGGTATATTTTGGTGGGTATGTGTTTATATTAAATGAGTCAGTTGGATTTTTTAGACTTCTGCTTACACTGAAGAGAACTTCCATCACCTATCAGTATTTGTAAGAATTAGGTTGTAATTTTTTTTAAATGGGGTTTTTGTTCCATCCTCAGTAAATAATGTGATTCTAACCAGTGATGAGATGAATTATAACAATGAGGTAATTCAGACAATGATTTGTTTATAAGAAATATATTTTTTCCAGTATTATGGTGTATCTTTGTAGCTTTAAGGACCTATAAAAGTCCTTTTCTCATAGAGGGGGAAAAAAGTTCTTCACCTGCCTTCAAGAATGATTCTGATGGAGCGCTTAATAACATTGAAAATATTCTTGTAGATTTTCTTTGTGATTGATGGTTACTAAAGCTCACCAAGTAGCAGTTGCTGATAAAAGCTTTCCCTGTGTTGTAAACATTACAATGAGTAATACTTGTGTATACTGTTACTGAGTGAAGCAAGAAACTGTTCTGAGATCCATTGCTGCTTTTGGTAGCAGCCTGATGATTACAATATTGTGAAGGTAGAAAACATTTTGTTGGCATAAAGAATAATAGATTTCTGTCTTCTTACCTTAAAGGTGTTATAGCACCTAGGATGACACAAAAGAACCAATGCTTTTCTGTGCTCAGGCTGGGCATTTTGTGCTGATGATGTAGTAGCTATTTCTTCTGTCACTACAGTACTCAACAAATGCAATTTTTGATGAATCGTTCTTCTGCTATTATTTCTGCTTTAAGTATTTGGAAAATACTGTCTTGCTTATAGAATCAAAAGATATGGACTGTTTTGTTATTTGTGCATCTGWAGTGCTGCTGGATGGTAAAATGACAACACTAGGAAATGCAATTATTTGTCTGTTACAGAGATACTCATAAAAGGTGTAGGCATAAGAGGATGTGTACYTTATTGGTTTCCTCTTTGGAATTTCCCTGTCTTTCAATTCTTTCTTGGTTGTGCTTACTATAGCTTCTGGTAATGTGTGCTTAAGAACTTAGGCTGAAGCTGATTGTAGTCTTGGAATGTTTAATTAAATGTTTTATGAAAATGTATTTTGTAAATAGAAAAAAAATGTAAGGAGTCTACATTGAATATTTGTTTTCCTGAAATTGGATAAAAGTTTTAAGTTGTTGCGGGAGGAGAAAGATCTAGCTCTTCAGGTTAYGTGTTAACTAGGCCTTATTTAAGAAATGGATGTTGGCTTAACACTGTTAGCATACCTGTCTTTTTTCTTTTTGTGGAGCTCTGTAACTGAAACAAACTGGAGCTGGAGGCTRTCTGATACATGTACTCTGTTATGCTGGAGGCAAGAGCTTCATTTTATGTAACAGAAATAAATATCAAAATACTGGCTTTAGTCAAGAAGTGATTTGTTGAATTGTTTTGTAACCAGGCAGCATTTGGATAGCTGTAAGGAGAAAAAAAAACAAGTCAGCAGTCTGTCAGGATGTATGGTCCTGTGTGAATGAATGTCTGTACTAACCACTGCATTACTCATGTTCCAAATGCTACCTTGCCTGCCATGAATGAGAAGGAGGTGAGCCTCTCGCTGTGTAGTTCAGATGTAAACTTTCAGATACACTGAAGGAGACTATAGGGAAAGTGTCACTGCTTTATCAGCCACTATAGATGATCAATTCAGTCTGTGTGGAAATGACAGGATGCACAAAGGTGCAAAGTAAAGAAGAGTGAACTTAAATGGTGTCTTCTGCGTACTCAAAATAACTTAGAATTGAAAGTGGATTGATTCAATTTAGGCTGATTCTGGTAAATTGTTATATATAACGTGCATGTTTTTCAGTCATCTGTACTGTTACTGTTCAAATCATGGACAGTAGCTTTTTTGGGTATTTGAGACTCAACTGATGCTGAAATTCTCTTGTTTGTATCCTAGCAATCAGTATTTAATGCATATTTGAGTCAGCAGGTGATGGTATTAAAACGAAGGGAAATGTTGTAGACCTGTGATAATACCAGCTAGCCAGTGTCTTTCATGGGTTCTTCTTGAGATTTGGAAGCTTTATGTTTACTTTAAATACATGTTATCATTTACATGATGGTGTTAATAGTGAACTGCCAGTTGGTAAAAGTAATATGTAACTGAGTACTCATAATATCTCTGTACTGATATTTGCAGATACCAATTCATGTGTTCATGTGAATCATTTCAGAACTGAGAAAATCTGGTTTGCCCTAAAAGAGTGAGGCAGAAGTCCAAAATGTAGGAATACTATGGAAAAAAAATACGTTATAGTTTTATTTACTATGAAGTCTGTCAGTTCATCTTTGTCAACTGTTACCAATAGCACTGTTRCTTTAGTCTGGGTGTTCTTTTAATAGTCATTGTCATGGAAATACTAATCTGTTAGTCAGAACTATTCATTGCACGTAATGTGAAATAACAGTGAGCAGCCTGAAGGTTACATCCTTAGTGAGAGAGGAATGTGTGCTTGGCAACTGATTTTTTTTAGCAAATCAGGAAGAAGTTGAGCAATAGAAGAATTCCAGTGGCTTAAAGAGGAATTCTTCTATTGCATAATATTTAAAAGATGGTGCACTAATTCAGGCAGTCCTTGGAATCATTAGTGTTAGCTTCACTGTTACAAACAATATATTATTAAGAAGCAACAACTCCTTTACTTTACTCTAAACATGCTTGAGATGGGCAGTCTTTGACAATATGAAAGAACTGAAGTTCTTACTGTCTTGATTGGTACTTCTGAAGGAAAGGAAAAACATGTTGTTTTGCAGAATTTCGTGCAACATTCAGAGTTGGCAAAGGATTCAGAATTTAACAGGCTCTTCTGTAGCAATAGGAATAAGAGTGGATAAAGGAAATGCAGCCCAGTAGGTAGGTCTAGCCATGAGAAGACTGACTTTAGACTTGCAGCATGGAAGAATGCCTCACTTATTTAGCCAAGCAAAGTTCTTTAACAGTAATATTTTCATTACTGACCAAAACAGGAAAGAAAAAAGTGAAGTTGTCTTAGCATCATTAAAAGCATAAAATACTATTTACCAAATGATGGTATTTCTGAATCAAATTTGAAAGTGTCAGCCACKGAACCCTTAAACCTAGTATAATATTGATTCATTTATAGATTATGGCTCTGTTGCACTCTTCTAGTTCTTTTCCTAATGCTCTTAATACAGGTGGGAATATCTCTTCCTTGATTAAAAAGGAAGCATTATTATTATCACTTGCCTTAGACCAGAGAACTGTTAAGGCAAAAAACATTGAATGGAAGGGAACAAAATGTGTGCACAGATAAAATCATCTGTATTGATAAAASATCTTGCAATAGAAAAAAAAATAACAGAGAGGGTTTAGAATGAGGCACAAGTTTTTCTGTTAATGGTTGCCTTTGTAATGGAATTTCTAAATTGGAAAGGGTCAGAAAATGTAAAATGAAGTTTTTGGTGAGRTAATTGGTTTTAGGCTTTTAAAGAACTGTTTGAGAGGGAACATTTTCAGAGTAAAACAGAGGTTTTATGAAACTGCAAACTATAAAGGTAAGACAGTGCAAACTTCTGTTAGGTATACAAGCACAAAACCCCAGATAGTCTGTGTCTTCCTGCATAGGAACAATGTAGCTTAGCACCAGTTTTGTTTGACAGAATCTGATGAATTTGGTTCTGTCACTTGCTTAGTGGCTGTGGAATGTGTATCTTCATTTTCTGGCAAAGGTGTTGTCTTTTCATGCCACATGAGATGTTTTACTTTGATTTTTAGTTTTAATTAAATAAATGAACCGACTGGAATTCACTATTCCAATTTCCAGTGCATGCCTAAATCATGTCCAGAACCACTGTTGGTATAATTTCTCAAGCAAGCAGATTTTTTTTTTTTAATGAACATTAGCTTTTGATGTAAATGGGACTGTTCTTGCTCCYCATGTATGTTTTGCCTTCCTGTGCGGTGAACTCATGCTCTTAGCTCAGGTATGAAAGAGCAATGCTGCCTGCTAAGTGGTAAATCACATATTCTAAGAAATGCAGATTGCATTTTAGTGCTTTAGAAGCTAAAGCAATGTGACTTYAAGGGAAGGAGGGGACACTGAAATTGAATTACAAGATGAAAAGTTTGACAAACTAAAGTTCGAAAAATAGACCTGTGAAGATGGTGAAAATAACTGTTGGAGAAGTGGAGAAAGTAGAAAATATTAGATGATATTTTTTATGTAATTTTACAATGTGTTAGGGGGTCATATTAAAACTTAAGTAACTCAAAGTTGCTTCAAAASTTGAACTAAACAAATGTAGAAAAGTAAAACGTTAAGGGGAAGGAGGAAAAAGTAAGAAAGAATGAAACTTTACTGATACTGGGTTCTCTTTAAAATAATTTTTGAAGGTAAGAATATGGATGTATGATTASTGTAGATGTCATCTACCTGTATGAATACTTGTTGTGGCGGGATTTCTGCAAAAAGACCAGCAACTTAGCTTCTTTGTGTCATTGTTACCACTGTGAGACTGGGGGGAAAAAAAGGAGTTGCAAAACAGAAAAATATACAATTGTGCAAAGCTGTTGCTTTAATCTATCATGTCCCTATACTAAGTGTGGCATAAAGGAAGAACTTAATTAGAAGTGATTATACCATAGTATAAACTGTATCCTAAATTATAATTCTCAGATGGCATTGCTTGGTGGGMTTTAGACTGGCCATTAACTTGGGCAGTTGGGGATGAACTGGATGTTTGGAAATAGCCCATTTCACAAATGGTTCCATCATAGMARTGAAGAAAAAAAAAWTYGAAGGAAGGRAGATTTCAACACTTCATGTGAAACAACATTAAATGCTTTGAACAAGTCCAGGTAGTTGCTCTTCCTTCATCCACCARCACTAATCCTGTCATAGACTGCCACTAAATTTGTGAGGCTCAATTTGCCCTTAGTGAAAACATGCTKACTGTCACCAACTGCCTCCTTATATTCCTTATGCCTCCACGTAGTTTCCAGGAGAATCTGTTCCTTCATCGTGCTGGGCACTGAARTGTGACTGACCTCTAGTTCTCCAGGTCATCTTTATTTCCATTTTTAAACTGGGGATTTTACTACCCTGTTCCCAGCCAGTGATAACTTCACTGGCCTGGCATTACTTCTAAAATAGGATGGGCAGTGGCTTAGTCACTCTCTGTGAAAGTGRCTTCTGAACCTGCAGATGTATCTCATCAGGTGCCATGAACTTGTTCACCTCCAGATTCCTTAGATGGTCTTGGACCTCATCTCCTATGGTTGGGTGGTTTGGCTGAGGTGGAGCTGATTTTCTTTATGGTAGCTGGTATGGGGCCATGTTTGGGATTTGTGCTGAAAACAGTATTGAGAATTCAGGGATGTTTTTATTGCTGAGCAGAGCGGGCACAGCATCAGGACCTGTTCTGCTTCTTGTACTGCCCTGCCAGCAGATGGGCTTGGGGTGTGCACAGGAGATTGGGAGGGAGACAAGATACTGAGAGAGGGGACACAGCTGGAACAAGTGACCCTGACTGATCCTTATCTCTTTCCTACCAGCCATTGGTTTGTAAGAAGGATTCTAAATGACAATCAGTTAAGACACTTCCCAAGGCAGAGTGTATTTTGGGATAACTAGTGGTTTTTTGTATTAACCAAACCTGTTCTGAAGCACTGATTCTTGACTTGTTTCCCTTGTAACTTTTCTTCTTTCAGAAAGAACATTTTGCTTTGCAGAGCCAGTACAGAGAGAAAGATGCTGGAAACTTGCAGCACATGGTAAATAATATGATGGCTTGAATTCGTGCTTGAAGCTTTGTTTTAATATTATTCCTTAAAACAAGCTTATAATGCTTTTCATGAACAAAAAATATTTGTCCATCCTGGTCASTAACTGTTGAATGTGTGAGTTAAGTGGAAAGTGGCAGTACTATTTTAATATCTTATAGTAATTTTGCTGACTAATTTAAATATTTAAACACTGCAGCTTTCATTTTATGGTAATATAAAATRCTGACAGACATTTTCATAGTTGGTGATTTGCTCTTAGATTTATTGAGCTTTAAAGTCTAACTTCCTTTGAAACTGAGTATGTCTGTTACTGAGGGGAATTTTTAAGTTCCTTCTTTATTCATAGGATTGTTTTGTAGATCGTGCATCTTTGATTTTGCTTAAAGCTTTACTGAGGATAGGAATTGCAGGTTCTATACATGAACTATGAAACTCATTACTTCTTGTGTGTGTTTAGAAAGCTGTGAATGGAAGGCAATTTACTTGTGAGGCTGAAGAGCCACARGAACAAGAAGGTCTTCAGCCTATGTATCCTGTTTATCAGCAAAATTACTACAAAAATTGGAGCAACAGATACCCACAAAACTCAGGACCTGGAAGAGTCTACATCAATCCAAGGGAGCATTATGTATGATTCCATACCCAGATCTCTTTAACAAGGGTTTTATTACCTSTTGATTGTATGACCCTCATGTCTTGTTGGCTTTCATCTCTAAAATAATTGGGTTTCTTTTTTTTCCTGTGGGAAGAAATTGTGTGGAGAACATTATGTAGGTGAACCATACAGAATTTGAGACTTAACTTGCCTCTAGTATGTGTGTATTTTTGTAGTTGTAGCAACCTGCCAAAAGAGGAGAGCCACTTAGCTTTATTAACCTTCACAGTCATAAGATGCAAACCCATATTAATTGGTTGACACATGCCAAAATGTAGTTAAGGTTTTTCACTGGTTATCTCTGGCTGCATTTTCTCTGRATATTTTACAATTACCTTACCTATGTAAAAGTGAATAATTATGAGCAAGACAAGCRAATCCCTTGTGACATTAGTAGTCTCAGGCTGAGTCATTTTCCAACTAGAAAACTTGGGACGATAATGATTTTGACTGGCCTTAGCTATTGATTTCTCAACTAGCTCTACCTCTCTCAGTCAAATAAGCAACTAGACTACCTCTCAAATACTGACTGGCTGTGCCATAAATTATGCTGAGTGTCTTCCCACCTTGTTAAGAGTGAAGCAATTGCCTTAGATCAAAAGCTTTTTATTGTCTGTTGATTCTGCCTGTTGCTGGGTTTGGTTTTACAGTTAAATCTATATGAAACTTAGATGAAGGAGGCAGATGACTAGACAGAACTTTCTGTGTCTTTTGTGAAGCTRCATCTTACTCCTAAATTGCTATTTAGCTGTTTTCCCAAGTATGACTCCTGTTTTAAATGCTGCAGAGTTTATTTTTCTCAGTAAGAAATACATTCCTTGTTTCTTTCTGTGTGCAACAAAACTGCCTGTGATGCGTTCTTATGTCTTGGCAAGAAAAGAAAAGCTTCAGTCAACTTCAAATGCTTTTCAGCATTGTCCTTTAATCTTAACCAGTAGTGTGAAGAAACTGGAAAATGTCCTGATGTTACCAGTGCTAACAATATCCCACATTAATTTTTCTGAGTGTGTGGTAATGGTTGAAAAAYGTGCTCAGGATCTTTCTAGAAAAATAAGTTTTCTGTGGACTAAAAAGAAAATATTTAGCAAGTAAAAAAGAAAAAAAAATATATAATGTGTTAGTGCTGAAATGAGTTCACAGGACAATCTTAAAATATTTTAAGACAGTAGAAAAAATGTCATGCTGAACTAGTTGTTGTACAAAACTGGACATTACGTCTAGAATATTAGTATGTTTCTTTGGATGTTTGGATTTTTAGAGGCAAGAGTCAAGCTGTAGAAGCAGCACAATTGAAAGCTAGCATAGGTAAGTGTGCTGCAGGCAGGAGGCTGTTGTTAAACCTGTATTCAACCTGCATTAATCTCCATCRCAGTACAAGTTAATGAGATCCCTGTCCACAACAGGGCCAGGTAATAAATGCTTCTAGCTTGTTACAGGTAGCAGCTAAGAAGATTATGGCTTGAGTGCCTGTGTTCTGGAGACTGTRGAAGCACATATTAGCTGTTCTCTTGCTAAGCAGCTTTCTGTTAAAAAAGAAGTGGTTGAAGTTGACTACTGAAGGAATGACAATGAAAAAGATTGGCAAAAACCTGTTTCTTGGGAGCTGTCTTTGAAGCACTATCACCTTGCYTTTCTCTTAGGAACTGGGCACATTCATGTAAGTTGAGCAACTGTTTTCAATTTTTGAGTTTCCCGCTATATTTGAGACCTTAAGAAGGGTTTGTGTCCCCCAAAAATATTTTTCCATAATGTTAGTTTAAGTAGCTACCTCTTTACATGAGCATTGCCTCACCTATCCTTATATTATTGCAGCTCCAAAAAACATCAGCTGTCACAATATTGAAAGAAAACAGTGTCTTGGCCAAATGAATGACAGAACATTGAGATGAACTATGCTGCTTAAGATTATTKGATCCATATTACTGAGCAAAACTTGATACCAAAAATATTTGAATATACAWTATAGAGTRGTTTAAAACTGTTGCTGTGGCRATGCTTCCTCTGCATTCATTAGTACATTGTGGTATTGACCAGGTGATCATTTCAGTCCCTTTTATGCTGTCATATGATGCAAAAAAACAATTATTTTGGGTTCATACTCCTTTTAATTCTTATTTATAGATACATTTTTCTTTGGAGAGCTAAAACTGGGGGAAGGAAGGAGTAAGAAAGAATGCTATCAACACTATAATCGGTTTTCTAGTTTGTAAAAATAGCTTAAGAAAGAAAAATGTAATCCAGCTATGTTGTCCAAGTTATGTACCACCAAAATACAGAAAGCTTGATTTGCAAACTACCCATCAGGATGTAGTTTGCCCTAAAGTCATTAGGGAAATACATTATCACCTRCAGGTTTATTACCTGTAAGAAATGGTTTCTTTGTAATCTGTTCAGGGACATTTAGTGTATTAGGTTTTTGAAATTTCGTTTTACTTTTAAGTGTGGCTGGATTTTGTGCGAGGGGATTTGGCATAGAATGCTCAAAAGAGAACAGAAAAAATTGTCTGCTGATTAGGATTTCTCACAGAAAGGATTGTACATATAGAAGTAAGTTTAATCTGCTTTTTTAAGGTGTAGAAAATGACCTTTTTTATTTTTGTACATTTCCRAATGCTTGTATTTGTATTTTGATTGGAATAAAAACATTAAAAATATAAAATTTTCTTCTGTTGTTTAGATTTAAGMTTTCTTAAGGTATGGAAAAATGCATCTACTTTTTTGGTGATGTGTTTCCTCTGTGGTTGTATATGCAGAGCATGTGCTTTTTCATAACAGTACCACTTTGGAATATTGTGGAGTTGCATGCTGAAATCCTCCCAATGTTCATCTTCCATGGCAGGAAGCATATAGCACTGTGTGAAAATCCAGCACTTAGGTGAACTGAACACCCAGAGTCACTGGTAAGGGAGGTGGGAAAGGAGGGGAAGATTAGTAATTCACATCTCTAGGATTGATAAATGTAGATTGTCCTCTGCCCAAGTATATCTAAATTCTACAAGGTAGTCTAATTATAAAAAGTATAAGATTCAATGTTTGGAGTATGTCCAAAATGTTTGTGAATACAATACAAATGAAAACTAATAAATTGTACTACTAAAAGAAAGGAAATAGTTAACAAGATATTATTAAAGGACTACCACTGTTCAGTTACAAAATGGTCTCATGTATTGTATATCCAGCTCAAGGGAAGCCCAATAAAAAGGTGTGATAATTCATGAAGAGTGGAGGGAAGGTTTTCACCTTCAGAGTTGTTAACTTTGCCTTCTTTCTGGCAGCGATACTGCTCTTTCTGAGTGATTCAAGTTCAGGTGCTATGTTGTTATATAGGTAAGTGATTAAAATGTCCTATAGAAACTGTTTAATGCCACAGACCTGAAACTCTTGTCTCTGAACCACTGTGTTGTGTGAAGGCTGAGCGAGTGCTGGAGCAACAAGTTATTGCAGAACAGACAAAATTGATTTGCCAACTTGRTTCACTTCAGAGGTTGCTGAAGAGGACAGGTAAAGCTCCAGGTTCAAAAAAGCTATCTGTGGTAGCTAGCTGCTGGATTGCCCTGTGGGAGATAGCTTGGGTTTTTTTTGTCCTCCTGTGGTACATGTCCAGAGYATTACTGGGAAACTGGGTGTGACAGAAAGTAAAGATGTGATATTTCTGCATTTTTCGAAAGGTGTTCTGTGTGAACAGCTTAATACCTTTAGCTGAATTATATTGAATGAAAATGCACAAAAAATACATTGTGAATCTGCATAGTAATTATTCAGACAGTGTGAGAAACCCATGTAGGATGTGTTAGGCATTTTAATCTGCACTGGTAACCTATCCATGAAATTTTTTCTCTACTTGTTTTGTGATTTTACTTGAGTTGATTTATGCTATATCTAAATCTTGATCCTTCAATTGTCACTAGAAAATAAATTTCATTTAAAAGCCYTCAAGTCAAACTGTAACTCTTCTAGCCTTTGTGGGACTAGTAATCAAGACTATGAATTGGAATTTACCTCAGTATTTTGAGACCGAGTTGGAAATCAAGTAGAYTCCAGCTTTCTCATCAGCTGAGATAAATTTGAATTTCTGTGCAGGGCTACACACAAAATGCATAGAGTGTGCTAAATAATATTAAAACATCATTTCAGTTTGACTGAGTTTAGCCACAGATTTATTATGTWCTAATTTGAAATGTATTAGGTTAAATTAGACATTATCTAACAGAGATTTACAGGAAATAACTTCTTTAATAAAGATTGTCAGAGAAAGAAGTGTTAAGATATGCTATAAAAGATTCCACTGTCTTTTTTTCTCTCCCTTTTCCTGTTGTTAAATTTTATTTGTTTATCAATCTTGGATCTCTGAATTATTACACCTAGTGGTGTTGCAGCATTAGATCTTGTTCCTAGGAAGGTGTACCTGCAGGTTCAGTTTTCCTGACACTTCATCTTGCCTGTCCTATTGGGAAGTCTTACAGTCCTCTGTATGATCCCACATATTCTGTGCTTGAACAGCTCCATTCCTTGAAAGCAAAATATTTTGGGCCMGTAATTTTTACCCAGTTCTGCTTACATAAACTCCAGAAAATGAAGGTGTTCCTGCTGATTTATGGCTATATGCAGTAGGAGGTTGTGTGCAGTGCAGCAGTGTGGCCACAAAGGATGTTTCAGCCCTGCCAGTTGCCTCTTGGCTGGTTATGGCAGACACCATCTAAGTGTGGTCTCTAGTGTCTCCACAGTGTTTTGTACTCACAAGAAAAAGAATTCAGAGATAAACGTAACTTTTCTGAACTGCTATCACAATTAGGGAATAATTGCTTTCAGGCACTATTTGTGGCAAAAGCTTAATTCCTTGTCAAGTATGGTAGATAAAATRTAGAGCAGTTGGGTTTCTGTCTTATCTTTAACTAACCTGGCTCTTTTAAGATCAGATCTCACCTACTGATGTGACTGCTCCTATTAAGCATAAAAACTGAAGGARCCTGACTTTAATCCCACAGCTAACMAAGTTMTTTGCTTCTTTGACATGAATTGAGAGGTAAGAGAGAAATGGCTATGGGCAAATAAAGCAYCTTTGTATTAGCTTTAAAATTCAGATTGATGGATAGCATCAAATGTAGATTGGTTTATCCAGGTAGGCTAAGCACATGGACAAAATGCTTAAGGTAGCCA